CTGTGGCAGGGCCCCGGGGAAGGGAGCCGAGCTTCTGTGGAGTGTCCTCCTCACTGTTTGTTTTTGTTAGAGGATGTGTATGCTCTCTGGAGAGAGACAGAGAAAGAGAGAGGAAGTGAGAAAGCACCCCCTATGGGGGACAGTTATGCCACAGTCCCTTCTCCTCCAATTCTTTTGGGATTTGGGCACACACAAACATGTTCTCAGTGTTTCTCCAGCTGCCAGGTCCAAGCCTTGAACCCACAGTCAGTCCTGGGAGATCCATCTGTCTTAACCGCCACACCACTGACTGGCCCACCAGTTGCTCTCTTTGACGGGGATATAAGTTAACCCATAGCACCACTGTTCTTCTGAAATAGCAGAACTCTGCCAAGGAGGGTTGTCCCCAAGGGAAGTCCTTGGACAGAACCAGATCACGTCCTTGGTCTCCTGTGACCAGCTTAAGTTTCTCTGGGGAAGAAAGGCATTCCCTTTTTCTCTTTAGGGTTCCATGGACAAAGGTCCCCTGCACCACCCCAGGCACCACTCATGCAATAAAGCCACACATGTGCATCAGACCCTCAGAAAGTGGGTCTTCACAGTTCTCAGCACTGCTGGGCCCATGGGCCCTCCCAGCACAGGGACTTAGGTGTTCAGGAAACCATGCTGAAGGACACAGCTGACCCAACCACCTTGTCTGACAAGTGTGGAATGAGTCCTTGCCACTCTGGTTTTTAGGCTCCTTGGGACTCAGTGTTGCCGTCTGTAAAGTAGGAGCAGGGAGGTGGGAGAGGGCTGTTGTATTGACTCTTCCCGGTGCTCCAGGGAGCCTGGGTCCCAGCCCTTCCTTCCTCAAAGACTGAGCTTTGAGGAACATTCAAGTTGATACAGTTTAGCCAGGTAGGTAAAATCACTGGGCTCGCCTACCTTGAAGGCATCTCCTACTCTCAGGTTCTATCATTTCTGGAGGGAAGAGACACTCAAGCCACCAAGACAGTTTATAGTAGAAGTGTTACTACTCGTGCAGAGGGAGAATCGCGTCCCAGGTAAAGCAGAGACTCCTCCTCTACTGCTTTGGGTAAGAAACTTGCCCTTGACTCGCCTCTGCTCAGTGACTAAGGGAGTCACATAACCTCTTTGGTGACTCAGATTCTTTTTTTTTTTTTTTGTATGATTTCTTCTTCACGTTCGATCACTGCACGTCTATAGCACACGGCGTGGTGTTTTGAAGTGTGCGTGTAGTACGAAGACAGTCAGATCAAGGACACTGGCGTGTCTGTCATTTTCAGTAGAGAACTTCACATTCTTGTATCTGCTAAGTGTCCCTTCCCTTTGGTGACTCAGTTTCTTCATCTGAAAAATGGGCACCATAGGCCTACTTCCAAGGGTTACTGTGATCATTACTCTGCACATGGGCCAGGGCCTGGCTAAGAAGTGCCGAGCATCCCTTTACACTGGCCATC